GCAGGTTTCCTCAAATCTACCCTAAGTTAACCATGTTCTACCACGTTCACCCACATCAGCCCTAAGCTAACGATGTTGTACCACGTTCACCCACATCTACCCTAAGTTAACCATGTTGTACCACGTTCACCCACATCTACCCTAAGTTAACCATGTTCTGCCTAGTTGGCCTACATCTACCACAAGTTAGCCATGTTGTACCTTGTTAACCCACACTACTCTAAGTTAGCCATGTTTTACCACTTTCCCCCACATCTACCCTAAGTTAACCATGTTATACTTCGTTCACCCACATCTACCCGAAGTAAGTCATTTTGTACCACGTTCACCCACATCTACTCTAAGCTAGCCATGTTCTACCTCGTTAACCCACATCTACCCTTGACCATGTTAACGATATTGTACCTCGTTCACCCACATCTACCCTAAGTTAACCATGTTGTACCACGTTCACCCACATCTACGCTAAGTTAGCCATGTTGTACCACGTTTACCCACATCTACGCTAAGTTAACCATGTTCTACCACGTTCACCCACAACTACCCTAAGTTAACCATGTTGTACCTCTTTAACCCACATCTACCATAAGTTAGCCATGTTGTACCACGTTAACCCACATCTACCCTAAGTTAGCCGTGTTCTACCACGTTAACCCACATCTACCCTAAGCAAGCCATGTTGTACCACGTTAACCCACATCTACCCTAAGTTAGCCATGTTCTACCACGTTAACACACAGCTACCATAGGTTACCCATGTTCTACCTCGGTAACCCACATCTACCCTAAGTTAACCATGTTGTACCTCGCTCACCCACATCTACCCTAAGCTAGCCATGTTGTACCTCTTTCACCCACATCTACCCTAAGTTCACCATGTTGTACCTCGTTCACCCACATCTACTCTAAGTTAACCACGTTGTACCTCGTTCACCTACATCTACCCGAAGTTAGCCATGGTGTACCTTGTTCACCCACATCTACCCTAAGTTAGCCATGTTGTACCTTGTTCACCCACATCTACCCTAAGTTAACGATGGGTTACCTCGTTCACCCACATCTACCCTAAGTTAGCCATGTTGTACCTTGTTCACCCACATCTACCCTAAGTTAACGATGGGGTACCTCGTTCACCCACATCTACCCTAAGTTAACCATGTTGTACCACGTTCACCCACATCTACGCTAAGTTAGCCATGTTGTACCTTGTTCACCCACATCTACCCTAAGTTGGCCATGTTGTACCTCGTTCACTCACATCTACCCTATGTCAGCCATGTTGTACCACGTTAACTCACATCTACCCTAGGTTAACCATGTTTTACCTCGTTCACCCACATCTACCCTACGTTAGCCGCGTTCTACCACGTTCCCCCACATCTACCCTAAGTTAGCCATGTTGTACTTCGTACACCCCCATCTACCCTAGGATAGCCATGTTCTACCACGTTAACCCACATCTACCCTAAGCTAGCCACGTTGTACCTCGTTCACCAATATCTACGATAAGTTAGCCATGTTGTACCACGTTCACCCACATCTACCTTAAGTTAACCATGTTCTACCTCGTTCACCCACATCTACTCTAAGTTAACCACGTTGTACCACACTCACCCACATCTACCCTAAGTTAACCATATTGTACCTCGTTAACCCACATCTACCCTAAGGTAACCATGTTGTACCTCATTCACCCACATCTACCCTCAGTTAGCCATGTTCTACCATGTTAACCCACATCTACCCTAAGTTAACCATGTCGTACCTCGTTAACCCATATCTACCCTAAGTTAGCCATGTTCTACCACGTTCACCCACATCTACCATAAGTTAGCCATGTTGTACCAAGTTAACCCACATCTACCCTAAGTTAACCATGTTGTACCTTGTTCACCCACATCTACCCTAAGTTAGCCTTGTTCTACCACGTTAACCCACATCTACGATAAGTTAGCCATGTTGTACCACGCTCACCCACATCTACCCTAAGTTAACCATGTTGTACCTCGTTCACCCACATCTACCCTAAGTTAGCCATGTTCTACCACGTTAACCCACATCTACCCTAAGTTAACCATGTCGTACCTCGTTAACCCATATTTACCCTAAGTTAGCCATGTTCTACCACGTTCACCCACATCTACCATAAGTTAGCCATGTTGTACCAAGTTAACCCACATCTACCCTAAGTTAACCACGTTCTACCACGTTAACCCACATCTACGATAAGTTAGCCATGTTGTACTACGCTCACCCACATCTGCCCTAAGTTAACCATGTTGTACCTCGTTCACCCACATCTACCCTAAGTTAGCCATGTTCTACCACGTTAACCCACATCTACCCTAAGTTAACCATGTCGTACCTCGTTAACCCATATCTACCCTAAGTTAGCCATGTTCTACCACGTTCACCCACATCTACCATAAGTTAGCCATGTTGTACCACGCTCACCCACATCTACCCTAAGTTAACCATGTTGTACCTCGTTCACCCACATCTACCCTAAGTTAGCCATGTTCTACCACGTTAACCCACGTCTACCCTAAGTTAACCATGTTTTACCTTGTTCAACAACATCTACCCTAAGTTAGCCAAGTTCTACCACGTTCACCCACATCTACCCTAGGTTAGCCATGTTCTACCACGTTGACCAACATGTAGTCTAAGTTAGCCATGTTGTACCACGTTAACCCAAATCTACCCCAAGTTAACCATGTTCTATCACCTTAACCCACATCTACTCTAAGTTAACCATGTTCTACCACGTTAACCCACATCTACCCTAAGTTAACCATGTTCTACCCCGTTAACCCACATCTACTCTAAGTTGACCATGTTCCACCACGTTAACCCACATCTACTCTAAGTTAGCCATGTTCTACCACGTTAACCCACATCTACCCTTTGTTAGGCATGTCGTACCTCGTTAACCCACATCTACCCTAGGTTAGCCATGTTCTACCACGTTGACCGACATCTACCCTAAGTTAGCCATGTCCTACCACGTTCATCTACATCTACCCCTGGTTAGCCATGTTCTACCACATTTACCCACATCTACCATAAGTTAGCCATGTTCTACCACGTTAACCCACATCTACCCTTTGTTAAGCATGTTCTACCACGTTCACCCATATCTACCCTAAGTTAGCTATGTTCTACCACGTTAACCCACATCTACCCTAAGTTAAGCATGTTTTACCACGTTCACCCACATCTACTTTTAGTTAACCATGTTCTACTACGTTAACCCACATCTACCATAAGTTAGCCATGTTCTACCTCGTTATTTACTATGAGTTAGCCACGTTCTACCACGTTGACCCACATCTACTCTACGTTAACCATGTTCTACCATGTTAACCCACATCTACCCTAAGTTAGCCATGTTTTACCACCTTTACCCTCATCTGCCCCACTTTAACTTCGCACTATCTTGTGGACCGACTTATACTTCAAGTTAACTCGGTTATACTCCGTTTAGGCCCACCTACCCAGAGTGAACCTCGTTTTAGTTTGTTCACCCACACATACTCTGAGTTAGGCACGTTCTTGCACTTTCACCTTCATGACAGCTGATTAGGGTTTCAATATTGATATATTACGATAGGATTAATGGCTTCTTTTTTATAAAGGCAAAGGGGTTTTTTGATACTGCAGACCATAGAAAGTTTTGTTTAAGAAATAGGGTGTTACGGGTTTGACAGCCTTCTCTCAAGTGGCTATAAAACAGTCAAGCTATACATTTAACTATCATCAACAAGAGTCTATTATCTCCTGCTAATTATCATTGTAATGACATCGATATGGCAACCTTTGTTACAGTATACTTGACTTTAAATAGAACTGTGCACTAATCAGGTTGGTCTGAAGTACGACTTGTTAATCACGAGTACGATTAGAGACAGAATTGGACGACACGAATTAGTCAAAACTATGACGAATTTGAGAAAGAGACTAGACATCACTAATGCATTTTTATACAAAAAGGAAACAACAGTTAACTCGACAGTTGACACTTGCCTGTGCAAGTGTACAATGCGTGTCATGTGTGCGCGCTGGTGTGTTATATTTACACGACAACCGCACGCGCACATGACGCGCATTGTACACTTACACAGGCAAGTATCAACTGTCGTCTTATACCGTCAAATTACAAGCATAACGGGTACGTTGTCCTATCGGTGCTCGATTATGTTCCAGAATTTTGTTAAAGTTATGACTTGTAATGGTAATAGGACTGAGTGCAGTCCAATTCGGTCGGTAATTATACGAGAGATAACAAAATCGGACAATCGCGTAGCGGGAGTCCGATTTGTTTATCACGAGTGCGATTACGGACAGAATATTGGACGACACAAAGTCATAAAAATTATAATTTCCGAGAATGAAAAGAATTATTAATTATGAAAGGAAGGGGAAAAGTTGCATCAAACGAAACCAAGGTTGTGATTGGTTGAATCAAACTATAACTTTGAATGTGATTGGTTAATTTAAACTACAAATTTGAATGTGATTGACAGCTTTCCGACAACAAACTGTCTGAAAACAACCTAACAAATGATTTAGTGGAAAATGGGGATTTTTTAAAACAATCACAATCAAGGTAATTGTAATTTTTATGATTAAATATATAATACTTTCATCAAATCATTACTTGTAGTTGATGGGCATCCAGTGTACGAGAAAGAACTCTTTTTTCCCGCTGGTATTTTTTATTGACATTTATTCTCTGACAATATTGACATTTTTTGCACAATAAAAGCGTAATATGTGCCGGAATTCAAATACAATCCATAGACGTAAAAAAAACGCCGTTATTTTTATACTTTACATACGGTTAATTGCGTCAACCCCGTAAGCCAGATTACACGCTGCCATGCATTTATTTTTTTCAAAGTTCAACTTTCCCTCCACTTGCTTTTTCGTCTTTTCACTAACATGTAATTGGAGCTGCCGAGCAAAGCGCGAGTTGACAACATAATTATATAAATGTGTTAAATTTCCTTAGTAGGAAGAAAACAAGTACAATGTAGGAAAGATTCTACAGTGTCCAAAAGGCATATTTCTATGTTTGTCCAGGAGCCCAGGCTAATGAAGGAGTTGCTTTCCTTCAAGAAATCCATGGTACGTTTCCTTTTCAATGGCGAAGGACTGGACGTACATTTGGTGGACCTTTTTTTTTTGACATCTTTCTTGCCCGCCGTTCTTTTGCCAAACGAGTTCCCGCAGCCCTTGCATTTACATTTTTCCGCGGAGCACGAACTACCAGAAGTATAGCAAGGGCATTTGGATCGTCGTTGGCCTGGCACATCGGTGCATGCACTTCTGATGTTTCTCTCTCCTTCACCACACCTACAGCCATCGGGTGTACGGGCGTTATTTCTGCAGTTGAAACATATGCATCTTTTGGTGCATTGCCGCCTTTGACGGACACATGGACAGCGCCCTATTGCATCAGGGATACAGAATCCATGCATCCTTGATTTTGCATGTCGTCCACAATGGCAAATCAAACTTCTATTTGGCGGCAGCTCTTCGTCATCTTTGACCTCAGCTAAATGCATGCAAATAAGACACGACAAAAGTTTCCGTTAGAAACCCATGCTAAGCCCGTCATGGTAACTGACAAAACCAGCTAGGGACGTTATGAAAGCTAATCGTGATTTCAATTTGTCAATAAATTTACTTGCCTTATGTCAGCTCCCATAAAAAGAGTGTGTGTATTGACGAGGCATATATTTTATTTGAAGTTGAACGTATAGTAAATAGGCAAATAGAGGGAATTATAGTGTCAAACTAAAATAATCCCGACAAATGTAGTCTGGTATATTACATTAGACTATTTCTCATAAACCGTCTATCGCAACAAACTGATATAAATTGCAAGGGAACCTAGCAAGGACGACTCAACCACCAGGATTCAATTATAACATTTCGTCAGTCGGCTTACATACCTAAAGTACAGATTTGGTTGGTAGCGTCATAATGGCCAGCACCATAATAGTGGAAAGCGATGTATATGGGTGTGGTACTCAATGGACTATCAGGCACAAATGGAACGACAGGTGTAGAGCGACTTGAGGTAATGATGATAATCGAAACTTTAAGGACGTTACAACAGACTTTCATCACCAAGTCTCCAATTTCACGATCAAACACACCTTTCATTCTAAACTCATTAGCTCTTTCTGTAAGCGTGGTTGTCGATTCCGCTACAAATCCCGAATATTCGTCCTCCCCTCTGATAAATTCTTCAACAAAAAGCTGTCGTAGGGTAAATGTATCCTCGTCTTCAGAACCGGCCATCAAATTTAGCGACCGAAGGTGATCTTCTAGTCCTTTGGTTTTGTCAAAATCCATTTTAAGTAGCTGCCTTATTATGCTTCGGAATGCGCAATCCCCGTCTTTAGATACGCTTTCAATCTCTAATCCAAATCGGGCTAGGTGCCTTTTAAGATCCTCAGTGTGGGTGCTTATATTGGGATCATTACTTTCGGTAGTATCATCTAAACAGACTGCTAGAGTCAAATGCTCTATTGCAACTTTGTGCACTAACATTGATTATAACTTCTTGGATGCTGAACGCCACATTTATTATAGACTGAGCCACATAATCCGTGCATAGGTCAGTTATTGTTTCAGTTATCGTGACCTCTGGATTCATATCTGAATGACTTGCTGGCTCGCCAAGAGTTTCATCAGTTTGCTCTTCAACTGCTGAACTACCAGTCGTGAACGGTGGATGAGGACTGTTATCGTGTTGCAAATTGTCTATGCTATTTACCGGATCTATAGGCACTACTCTTGCATTACAATCATGACGGAAGGCAGACAGTTTAGTAGTATGATAATAAAACAGTACAGATAATAATGCTATGGCAAGCTCAACAGAAATTCTCGTGGCTCCAGTGATAAGTGAACGGTTAAGAAGCCTATGCAGCTGCTCGTTTCTTTCTGTACCACATCCTGGAGGTATATGGGAGAGACACCCTTTTTGGATGTGTAGACGCAAATGCTCTATTTCTCTTGTAGTTTGAGAATTTCCCAAAGGACTATTGGGGACATTAATCCAACGCTCAATGAGGGAATTAAAATTCTTTTCAAGCTGCTCCTTAGCTGGGGTGTATTTCAGCCTGGCTGAACCTTGGTCGTCATCTCTTCTGAAAATTTGCGAAAACTCTCGCATGAACGAATTTGCAGTGGTCTCAGCTTTGTTTAAAGTTTTTGTAATTCGTTGACACGCATGAAACAGATCAAGTTTCACCTCAGTACCCGGAAATATTTGAGTGTATTTGTTTCGCACATTACAGCAGTCGTCGACGCACACCATATTTATGGTTTTGTCTTTACTGTCCAGCCTCTGTTTTATTCCTTGTAACAAGTCTTCTATCTCTGAAAATTTAGTGGACTTAGTTAGGCGCCATCCCAACACTTCATCTTTTTCATTCAGAGTAATAAAAACTTGGTTGTACTGTGATACGAATTTATTGTCCTTCCCCCTCACTGCTCCAACGTTTCGGCTGATTTTAAACGTGTGGTCGCATGATATAACTTCTGCACTTAGACCGTTCATATGCCCTTCGTATATACGAGAGTGTTTATCAAAGTTTGTTAAAAATATTTTCATTAGAAGATCGTTGCTGGGAAAAGAGAAAATTGAATTCTCATAAAACTCAGAAACATCGATATTATTTGAAGTGTTATCGTCGCTTGTTGCTGCTGCATATATTTGCTTTCTCCTACTAAACTCTCTGATGTTCAGGGAAGCAATACCCTCACTGATTTTCATGAAATTTACTCCCTGAAGTAATTCTGTTTCTATGAAGTCGTACATGATTTTCGTATAGCCGCTTCTTTCTGTTTAAACCAGAGGGAAGTATTCCCGTATTACCCTCGGCATACTATTCCATACATCGGGTGTAGTAGGCATCAGTTTGTGGCAAAGTCTTCCCCTAAAACAAATGTGGATTTTTTGTACGAGAATGATGTTGCCATAGAGATCGTAAACCATTCTTGCGGTTTTTCCTTTTTGTTTGTTGCTCACCTCTTTAGCCCATCGCCAAGGTTTAAGGTAAACTCCTTTGTGAACTGGGCATTCCAATTTAAGTTCAAACTGTTCGCATGGGCTGCAAATTAATACTTTTGGCAAAAGAAATTGGCTTTTTCCAGGTTTGTTTAGGATGGATATACTATTCCTGTAAATTTCCTGTCTCTTGGATTGTCATCAAACTCTGCGACAAGACTGTCAATGTATGACTGTACTTCCCCTTCGAGTAGATTTATCGCAGTACTTGAACCAGCTACAGAAAACAGTATAAGTATACTGAACAGCAACGTATTACAGCCTCTTAACCACATTTTGTGACCTATCAGAAAAAAAATGCAATATTCGGTTTTGGCACCTCATAGTTCTGGTACACAAATGATATACTCATAAGAACAAAACACCTTCTCGTAGTCTTCCTCAAGTTTTTTCGATCTTCTCGTAATTTTCCTCAAGTTTTGCTCAAGAAATTCTGATTTTTATTTATGTTATACGAGCTTTCTATCTTCGAAAAATTTCACTGCGGTGGCGAACCCTCCATTTGATCGACGAAAACCCTGTGTAGGAGTGATATTGAAATATTTTTATCACGTAGACGGTACACTGTTAGCAACTCTTCGTTTGTTAAGAAAATATTGGGATTCATCCCGAAGAAATTTCGTCTCAGCAATTCTTATTGCTCTTTCAGTTATTCCAAACTTTTGTTTTAGGAGATAGTTTTCACAGAAGCGACGAATGTTTAATTAAGAAAAAAATTGCTATGTAGGTGATATTGAAATGTTTTCAACACGTACACGTTCCCACTAATAGTCTTGGCAGAAAAGTAGCAAAGAAAAGGGGGGAGAAATTGTAAAGTCAGTAAATTTCTTCGAACCATCCACCTAGTGATCCTTGAAGATACAAAGTTCTTTTTCCATGCCACGTGACCTTACTTGTAGGCATTAATTCCCTGCCGTCCTCAATTACATTAGCTTTTAAATTGCCTTTACGTCGTGTGTTTGGGAATATGTGTGTGCATGAGATAACACATTACCAGTGTTACTAACCTGAGAAAATAAGAATTGCCGTTATGATCGTGGTATTTGCCCTGTATGGCGTTGTGTGCAACTGGAGTTTTTCACCGTTGTAGCTCTCCTTGGTATTAATTGAAAACGGTGTAAATTGTCAGTTTTTAGATTACTCACTTGCTGCTCGTGTCAAACGAATTCTTTATATTTTTCACGCACCACCTGTTTCCTTTTCATGCTGTAATATACTGTTATGATCGGTTTATTTTTAATTGCAAATAATTATTAACAGGGTATATGGATCTCAAAAGCAAAAAACTAGTAAAAAAAAAAAACCCTATGCCAGAGACTGTTTTAACCTTTTTAAATTTCTGGGGTGACCTGTAAGTCGTACATTTTATAGCAGGATGGTGCCTTATTTGCGAAGAAATTTTTCAAATTCCCCTTAGAAAATTTCAAACCCTCTCTTTTCGAGCGAGATGAGAACAGCAGGTCGCGAACATTACAAATTAGACCCCCCAAGTTTGGTACGTGCGAAAGTATTGTACGGGAGCCCGAATATTTAACTATTGTTTCATAGCGGGAAGCCCAATTGAAGGCTACTGCGGTCCCTTGTTTATTTTTTAATTTTTTATTTTTTTTGTCCGCCTTCTTTCGTCAGATTTTCAGTAAAGATTATGGCTGTTATTTTACGAAACGTGCTTGTTACCGTATTACGCATAAGTTAAGAATTTCATAGCTTTATTTGCTGCGTTACTCAGCGTAACACACCTATCATTTCATAGCGGGAAGCCCAACTGAAGGCCACTGCGTTCCCTTGCGTCTTGAATCTTACAGTCTAAATGTTGGTCATAGACATATCGGGTGTAAAGTTCTTGAGCCAATATACTAAATATCGAGGGGGGTGTTCTTGATAGTTCCCCAAAAGGAGATTCAGAAATAAGAATCTATTTCGATTGTCGTCACTCATCGCTGCACTATTTATTGATAGGGACTGAAAATACTGAAAAAGATTGGAGGGAGAATTACTGGAGAAAGAAAAAGTGAAAATGCTGCATGACTCAAAGGATTAAGCAGCATTTCTAATCCATGAATCTTTGCACTCGTTGGAAACGACCAGCACCGTACCTTGTTACGTCAACTCAACGACGCATTCCAGCACCCCTTAAGAAGTAAAGCTTAGTTCGTCACGAGGTGTCAAAACTTGTAAAAACAAAGATTTGAGGAAAAGGGAAAACGATTTTCGAGTGTGTGCAAATATTTATAGAGTAGAGACATATGTTGGGCTTGCTTACACTTTTTAAACAACATTTTGGTGCATGAAAAGATAAAACAATCAAATTTCAAAAATATTAATGAATGCTTGCCATAATCAGTAATCTATAAAAGCTCCAAATATTATTGTGGAGTGTGAACTACTTTTCAGTTCGCGAACAGATACAATATCCAATTTAGTGTTGATCTTTATTTGCAGATGAATTAGTCTATCTCTACAAACAAAAAAAAAAATAGGTGTGAACACCAATAAGAAACTTTCTATTTAAATTTCCCGAACGAAAAAGTAGAATTATTCACCTCTGCTCTAAACCGACTGGAGATAGATCCGACAAGTTGTTCGCCAGAGATGGGAGTATCGGTTATGAGAGAGCCGATGGGTTCTTAGAAATGACGAATTTCAACGTCGAAATAAGTGTTGGTGTAGTTAAATCGAAATATATCTTAGAGTGCTTGACATTTGTCAGAAACGACTGGCCAAACCAGTGGATTTACTAGTGAGTACGCCTCTAATTCTTTTTTTTTTTAGAGTGTTTACTCATATTTACCATAACATACGGCACCGCCCGGAAAATGATCGATCTGATATACAGCTCTGATTAGTGACGAAATTTCCTTTATACAGATATAAAAACAAAACAAAAACGAAACAAAAGACAAAGAAAAGAAAAAAAAGGTTCTGGCCGGCCAGTTCCGCATTATAGTAGTCATCCTTAGTTACATAGTTTTTGGTATGAGCTCCCACTTTTAGTTGACCAATTTTGTGAGAGATGATCACTCCCAACCTTCTTCCAGTGCCTTCACTCAGAAATGATAACTGTAATAATAAAACCTTGCAATACTTTATTTAGAACCTTACTTTGTCGTGATATCAGGGATGTTTCTCTCTTAAACAAACAAGCTAGACGAATGCTCGAAGTGGGATTTATGTTATCGTCAAGAACCCCATCACCCTTCCCGAGATTTCTTAGCAAAACTTCTGCGAAGTACACCTGAGTACGGTATCGTTTTCCCCTGGAGAAAGTAATTAATCAATTCTTTTCGTAACTGCGTTATTAATTGAATTTCTACTCCCTTATTTTCTAAATAACCTTTAATTCATAAAACTTAGGACAGATGATTACCTCATGAGTTTTTAAATTACTTGACGATAAACGAGCAATCTTACACTGAAACGGGAGATACAACGGACAGATAGGAGGTGAAGAAAAAAGGATTAAGTCTATAGGAATTGGATAAAGGGCAACTTAAAACTAACCAGGAAACTATATTCCCACATTTCTGATGACGAATCAAATGATGAACTGCATTTCGTTTTTGCTAGTTCTAAGAATATCTTTTTGACAATATTCCAAACGTTGCTTTTCAATACCATGCAATGATAGTCTTGTTGCTGATAGTTAAACATATAGCTTGATTGTTTTCTAGCCACCAATAGAGCTACTTGAGAGAAGGCCATCAAACCCGTAAAACCCTATTTCTTAAACAAAACTTTCTACGCTTCACGGTATCAAAAACCCTCTTTGCCTTTATAAATAAGAAGCAACTAATCATATTGTAATATATCAATATTGAAACCCTAATCAGTTGTCATGAGGATGAAAGTGCAAATACGTGCCTAACTCAGAGTATGTGTGAGTGAACAAACTTAAACGAGACTCACTTGAGTTAAGTGGGCCTAAACGTAGGAAAACAAGGTTAACTTCACGTATATGTCGGTCAACCAAAAAACACGAACTTAAAATAGGGTAGATTAGGGTAAACGTGATTAACACGTGACTACCTCAGGGTAGATGGGGGATTATGAGGTAGAACATGCTTCCCTGAGGGTAGATGAGGGCGAACGTAGTAGAGCGTGGGTTAACGTAGTAGAACATGGCTGACTTAGAGTACATGGGGGTTAACGTGGTACAACATGGATAACTTGGGTAGATGGGGGTGAACGTGGTAGAACATGGGCTAACGTGGTAGAACATGCCTGACTTAGGGTAGATGGGGGTTAACGTGGTACAACGTGGTTAACTTAGAAGAGATGTGGGTTAACTTGGTAGAACATGGCTAACTTAGGGTAGATGTTGGTTAACGTGGTAGAACATGGCTAACTTAGGGTAGATGTGGGTTAACGTTGTAGAAAATGGCTAACTTGGGGTAAATGTGGGTTAACGTGGTAGACAACATGGCCAACTTATGGTAGATGTGGGTCAACGTGGTAGAACATGGTTAACTTATGGTAGATGTGGGTCAACGTGGTAGAACATGGTTAACTTATGGTAGATGTGGGTCAACGTGGTAGAACATGGTTAACTTATGGTAGATGTGGGTTAACGAGGTAGAACATGGCTAACTTAAGATAGATGTGGGTTAACGTGGTAGAACACGGCTAACTTAGGGTAGATGTGGGTTAACGTGGTAGAACATGACTAACTTGGATAGATGGGGGTGAGCGTCGAAGAACATGGGCTAACGTGGTAGGACATGGCTGACTTAGGGTAGATGGGGGTTAACGTG